CAGATTAACTTGTTTCTGGGTGATCTCAAAATAGAAGCTGTTTCTATTATCTTTTGTCATGTGTTTGGGACACTTCTTGAAATGCATGCTTGATGATAAAGATATAATTCTATACCGGCCCTTTAAAATATCTGGGCTTGCACATGTGTGCTCATGGTATGTTGTTCAAGTACTGAATGTTAAGGCAGTGGGTATGCTGTGTTTGGGGTTGGTTGGCCAGGCAAAGCACAAGTGCATCTGTTTAGCACAGGGCCCTAGTGATGGTATACTGCTAAGATATAAGACAAGTGAGCTTGTCATACCACGTCATGTAGTAGTAAGAGCATGTTATGCATAATTTTAGCAGTGTTGGAATCTCTTTGTCTGATTTTTGTATTCGTAATAAATATTAGGATTTATCACAAAATAACAATTTCCAACTATGCTTCTTTCAATTTCCTACATCAGTTTAATTTGGGAGTGTGCTGAGATTGCCAGGAAGTCTATTAAAAATGTGAACACATCTCCTTGATCAGTATTTTTCTCTATACTGAGCCACCAAAGCAAACACAGAAATTGGTTATTGAGGCTATATCAGAATAAAGCTGTAGCTTTGTAATGTTAATCATAACATTAGCAAATGAGGAAAGGCTCATCATTCTTACTGTTTGGTAATATCATCTTCAATGTGTTTTATGTAGGATTCCTAATAGTGTTTGGATTTCATTTACAAAACAGGTTCTGTTACTAAATCATGTTTGAGAACCACTGTGCCTTATCATATTATCACTCTCCTGCTTTTGATCCTCAAATACCTGAAGATTTTTATAATTAGCTTAAGTGCAAAGTATATCTAGGAGGTCTAACAACCTTAAAATACTGAAAATGTTTAGAAAAAATAACCATTTTAAAAAAAGTTCTTTAAATTGTCCTCTGAATCATTTTCAAATGCAGGTTTAGTATAACACAGCTTATTTACTTTTGATTTAGTGCATTTGAATAATTAGCAGGGTTTGTGCAGCTTCTAAAAATCTTTTCTAGGGGTAACAAATTGGAAAACAGTCTCTTCAGTTAAACACAATTTTTTCCAAGTTCCTTGTTTTGTAGGGGGAGGAAATTGAGTAAAAATGTGGTTTGGTCAATATAATTTTGTTAAGCAATAATTAATGCCAGGGTGATACTTGGGATGCAAGAAAAAAAAAAAAAAAAGACCCATTCCTTGCCTTTAAATTTATAGTCTAGTCAGAAAGATAAATCGGTGAGCTGAAAATTACATTGTAATCTGATAATTGCTGAAACAGAGGAACATAATGTTTTATCCTTGCTGCCTGGCCTAGGGAAGGGAGGTGATATTTGAAGGATGTCTTAGAAGCTAGCAGGTGTTTGCCAAGGTAGTGAGAGAGCACTTCCATCTGAGGAAATATGAACAGCCCTTAAAGGATTGACAGGTAGGAAATCAGCAAATGTAGTTCACGGTGACTAGGGTATGTGTGAGGAGGAGGTGTGAGAAGAGAATGTTGTTAACTTGCTGGAGCAACAGCTGATGAATTTGTAGAGATAAGTTGGGTCTACATTGTGAAGGACCAAGTATGCCCTGTTAAGGCTTAATGTTTTAGAAAGAAATACTGGAAGATAGATTGGAAAAGGGAGTAATTGGTTCATTCATTCAATAAACATTTATTGAGTACCTACTGTGTGAAAACAACTATTCTAGGCACTTGGGATGCAGAGTAAAAAAAAAGGCAGAAATGTCTGCCCTAGTGGAGCCTACCACTTCCAGTGTAATGAGATAGATGATGTACCAATAAACATAGTAACTAAATTAATTGTACAGTATAATAGAAGGTGATAAACGCTAAGAAAGAAGGAAAAATAGAGGAAGGAAGTTTTGAGAATGCCAGGTGGAAGTGGTGACAATTTAAGTAAGGTGGCAAGATGCCCAATTTAGAAGTTGTTGCAGTAATTCAAATGAGAAAGAAGACTTGCCTTAGATTTAATGTGGGGCTTTAAAATGGAGAGAAAGTATAGATTGGGAGGACATTTTTTCCTGTTCATTTTTTAAACTTTTATCCCATAAGTATGTAAATTTATATTTATATTATGGATACAAATCTATAATGTACTATTATAAGTGAAGGACTTTGTAATGACCACCCTATAAGTGAAACTTTGCCAGCCACACTGGAAACGTCTCAATGACAAACCCCTCCCTTTCTGACAAACTCCTCCCTTTCTGATAACATGATGTTTATAGTAATCACTTTTCTGCATTTCTTTTCTTCTTCTTCCTTTTTTTAGCTGTTCTGTTAGAAATTTTATTATTATTTCTTAACTTTTAGTTTCAGGGGTACATGTTTGTTATACAAGTAAATTGTTTGTCACAGGGGTTTGGCGTACAGATTATTTCATCACCCAGATAATACGCATAATACCCAATAGGTAGTTTCATCCCTCATCCTCCTCCTAACCTCCATCTACAAGTAGGCTCTGGTGTCTATTGTTCCATTCTTTGTGTCCATGTGTATTCAATATTTAGTTTCCATTTATCATTGGGAACATGTGGGTTTTGTTTTTCTGTTCCTGCTTTTAGTTCACTCAGGATAATGACCTTCAGCTCCATCCATGTCACTAGACATGATCTTGTTGGTTTTTATGGCTGTGTAGTATTCCATGGTGTATATGTACCACATTTTCTTTACCCAATCTACTGTTGATAGGCATTTAGGTTGATTCCATTTCTTTGCTATTTCGAATAGTGCTGCAATGTACATATGCATACATGCATCTTTATGGTAGAATGATTTATATTCCTTTGGTTATATACCAGTAATTGGGATTTCTGGGTCAAATGGTAGTTTTGTTTAAAGTTCTTTGAGAAATGTCCAAACTGCTTTCTACAATGGCTGAACTAATTTACATTCCCACCAGCAGTGTATAAAGGTTCCCTTTTCTCCACAGCCTCACCAGCATGTTATTTTTTGACTTTTAAATTGTAGCCATTCTGACTGGTGTGAAATGGTATCTCATTGCGGTTTTGTTTTGCATTTATTTAATGATTAGTGACATTGAGAATGTTTTCATGTTTTCTGCATTTCTTGATAATTTTATTAGCCAAATATATATCTCTAGACACTATAACTTTGTCCTGCCTATTTTTTAAAATGTCTTTGTCTTTTTTTTAACCTAAGATTTTCTCTCCTTCCTTTCTTTTTCCTCACAATTTATCAGCTGAAGAACTAGGCTATTTGACCTTAGAATTTCCCATAGCCTGGAGATTTTTCTTATTGCAGATTCATGGTACAGCTCAACATGTTCCTCTGTCCTTTGTGTGTCTTATAAGTTGACAGCTGAACCCAGAGCCTTCATCAGACTCAGGTGTTACCTTTTTGTCCTGACAATAGGCAGTAGAGTTTTCATTGAAAACCACATAATGTCTGATTATCTCTTTTGCAATGTTAGTAGCTGCTTTTGCTCAGTCCCTCGGATTAGTAATTCCTTGGGGATTCCAAAGTTGTGATATTCTAATGACATCATATCTTTTTTAGTTATTAGCTGGGATACTTTTGCAAAGAGGCAGTTTCTCTTACTTACTGTGTGAACATCCTGTGGGATAGTGCCAATAAAAAAGGCAGCATAAATGCCTTTTTAAAAATTTACCAGTTTTTAAGATAATGAATTCATTTTCTATCATTCTCCTTTTTCATTAGTCTATCAACATTTCCAGACCTTGGAAAGGGAGGCTTGATTGGTCAGTTTTAAGAATTTATAGCTACTAGATTGCTCCAGTCTCTTTAGCTATCACCTGCTATATCTGTATTAGGCAAAACCCCTCCCCGTTTTAACTTCTGTTCTAAAGTTGACTCATCATGTGTTCAAGTGTTTATTTGTTGACTACTTTGGGGTTCTTATGTTTTCACATACGTCAGATAGGCAATTGCTTTCTTCTGCTTCTTCCTGTACAGGTCTTGTCGCAGTTGGTTTATCCTCAGCTGCTTGTATTTCTGGGGGATAGCTTATCATCTAGTTTTGTTGTAAATATTTTCCAAGAGATTTTGGCCTTGCTATTGAGTTGCTTTGTCTGTTTTTATGTGGAAATCAAGACGGTTTTAAAAAAATCTCACTGCCACCAATGCCGTCTTTCCAGAAACTGATTGAATCTGGAAGAGTTAGCATGGAATTGAGAATTACTCTGAAGTTTCTAATTTGGAAGATCTGGTAAATTGTAATTTTATTGATGAAGATTTTAAATAACATAAGAGAAGGAAGAAGATAGTGAGTGGAGGATAAGACCAATTTTTGATTTCTTAGGTTTGAAATACTCTATTTGAAATATCCTAATAGAAATTCATTCTGAAGAAATAATGCTGCTAGAATTTGAGAAAGCTAGGTGATAGAACATCAACACTTTGAGAGTAATTACAGCCATTATAAGTACGAAAAATAATATTTTTGGTCAAAATCGCATTGTGAAAAACCAGTGGAATAGAAAACATGTACTTGAAGACAAGATACTTAATAATGTGCATTTATGAATTAGTAGTTTTATATATTTTCTACAAATATACACAATGCATTTACACTGAGAAGCAACCCAAAGAGGAAGACACTCTGCAAAGATCCAATTACATGGCACTATGTAAAAATTCATTTACAACTGGTTTTTTAGTTATTAGGTACAGGTGCCATGTATGTTTTATATAATATCAAGGCAATGAATTTATAAAATCTGAGTATTTTTCTTATTTGAGACCCTAGATACAGATGATAAGGACTCATAATCTGCAAGTTTTTGTATTTTTAGTAGACTTTAGTATACTATCACAGATCCTTTAAGAGTTAGTGAGAAAGTCTTTTTTATAAGCTAGAGTTCTAAGTTCTGTCTTCAAAGAGGATTTTTCAAATAGTATACACTTTTGGACAATCCTTCTTAAACATTTCATTTGTTCCAAATATCAACCCAAATGATTTACTTTTTATGTCTTTTCCTTTCTTCTTTATTTCTTTATTTTTTTTTTAATTAGGCCAGTCTTCAGAGACCCGAAATTAAACTTGAATCATTGAAAGAAGATATTAAGGAATTCTTTAAAATATCAGGTTTGTAATTTTTTCCTAATAACTTAAGGCAAAATAATAAAATGTTTTATTTATTCCTAATTCTTTAAGCCCTTAAGCTTGTACAACCATCTTACTTTGTTGCCATTGTTCTGTTTTGTTTTGTTTTAGGCTTTTAGCAGCCAGAAGCCATGGTTTTTGGCTTCTTTCTTTAGTGATAAGCAGAAAAGAGAGATGAGGAAAGGGCTTTACTGGGCCAATCAGAAACAGAAACTAGGAACTTATGACTGTATTCTGTCCCTTGGATACCCCTGTAAGGCCGAATAAATAATATTTATCCCCAGCCTTCCAATTACTCATTTAAAACTGTGAAAACTATGGCCAAATAGGTTTCTATTTAGGGAGAATTTGAACCATTAGACATTTTAACAAAATGGGGCAAAAATTCAAGAACTCTGTGAGAATGACTGACTCCTTTGAATGAATCGGTTTTACATACTGTTTACCTTCCTGGTAACATCCTGAAGGGTAAACACATCCTGAAGGTATTAAAATATCTCCTTAGTTAGGTAATTTTTCATTTTACTTTTCAGTCATGACTTTTTTTCCTTTTATGCTTTCACAGAAAATAAAAAGAAAATTCTAACTTTTCATAGAGCAAGAGGAGAGAGAGGGTCCCTAGTCAACCATCTGCATATGGGAACTGAGATGTTAAGTCATTGATTCAGATAGCAGCTGAGCTAACTGGTCTGACTACTGGTAACTCACAATAATCTGCTTCTGTCATCCAGGACTTTGCTGACCAGTTAACTATAACTAGGCATCTTCATCAGGTGCCTGTTTTTTGCTGTTCCGTTGGCACATTCCTTACAACCTTAGTAGTACAACATCCAAAGATTTCAGCATTCATTGGGCACTTCGATAGTGAAAAAGGAAAAGTTCCTCCCAACTCGATAGAATGGTGCAGTAATGATATTATTTTTAAATATCATGTTGATGATTTTGCTACTCAAAGTTAGCTAAGGAATATGGTAAGTTTATAGGAAATAATCCTTAGTAATACTTTACATAGAGATTGGCAGTTGACAAAGTTCTTTCACAAATAAATATAATGTCAAAGTTTTATTGAGATAAATTTAATTATGATATATGTTTATTTAAGAAACTAACATGTTCATATATTTTATTATTTTTTTAAAAAAACAGGTTGGGAGAAGAAACTTCAGAATGCTGTTTATGGTGAACTGAGTGTGTGAGTTTTCCCACCTATTTTGTAATAGTGTTTTGTTTAGCTATATTACTTTGTGAGTAATAAAATCAACATTGCTATGTATACTTGTTGTATTATTATTTTTCATTAGTATTTTTACATTTCAAGTAAGTTAATACAATTAAAAATTACTACCATCTTGCCTGGCTAAATCCAGGCAAATTGGTGATTAGGTTGAAAGTAGTCTGGAAGCACTTAGGAACCTGCTAGACAGATGTAGGTGAGGAGTAATGGTTACCTAAAATAGTTTACTGTCAGTGGGTAGATCATCTAAGTATATAGGGGGACTTGGGAAACAAGAAAAACTAGAGTCAAGTGTGCCGCACAAGTTTCTGTGCATTTTTCCTATCTGACAACGCTTATCTCTGCGTATTACTAAATGTAAGCTCCATGAGAGCAGATGTTTTAGCCAGTTTTGTTCACTTCTGTATCCGTATCTCTTTTACATTGAGTAGGTTTTCATGAAATATTTCTGAAAAAATAAATATCTAACTTGATTCTGGTTTTAATATGAATGACTTTCAAGTTGTCTCTTCTTGTTACCTGTAGTTTGGATACATTTCTTTGATCATTAAATAACTATTAAGATCATCAGTAAATTCTCTCAAGTTTCAATCCTAAATTTATAAGTTTTATTAAATTTAGACATAATTACCATTAAAAATGGAAGCAAATGATATATTGGACAATGTGAGATAATTTCTAAACTATCTTGCATATAAGAGAAGAAATATCATTTGTGTATGGGAAAGGTAGATTTTAGTGGAAAAATAATTTGCCAGAAATAATTAATTTGTGAAACTGTCTTATGGGTTAGGTGGGATAGGTTGCCTTTCTCTATTCCAGCAATGTTTCTTATGGACAGCTGAGCCTTTTACATCTAGACTACAGGACAGATGCAAGTGGTTTCAAATATTATTAACCCTTTACATGCTTTTGTCCCACTTTGGACAAGGAATTTCTTGAGAATTCAGTCTATGGTTCTTGATTATTAGAACATGACTGCTTTGCTGTCAGTACAAATCTGCTGACTAATTTCAAGAGGAGTTATATATTATTGTGAAATGAATTGGAATCTCCAAATAAACATTGAACCATTGTGTCTTCCCACTGCCTTTTCTATCTGTGATTTCATCCCACTCTGCACCTCAGTCATTATGTGTCAGTGATCCCGGCTTTTTCTGATCCTTAAACATTCCAAATACTCTCTCCTCAGAATTCTTGCTCTTGCTGTCCCTCTGTTTGGAACATTCTTCCCCTAGATCTTTGCATGCTTGGCTCCTTCTTCACATTCATGCCTTGGTTTAAATATCAAATTCCCTAAGAGGCCTTCACTGCCCTCCAAATGTATTGTATCTCATTACCCTTCTTTCATTTTCTCAGGGTAGTTATTATAATCTGATATTACTTTATTTGTATGTTTTTGTAATTATTGACTTTCTTCATTAGGTCCATGAGAACAGGGAATGTTATCTCAATCACTGCCTTGTACTTAGTACCTAGAATGGTGCAAGTATTTGTTGACTAAATCAATTTTCTTAATAAAAACAATATATTTTGAATATAAAATGAAATGTTACTTGGAAAACAGAAAGAATATTTTGTTTCATTTATAACATGGACTACAGAGGTAAGTAGTATCTTACTAAACAATAATGTCTGATATTTAGCTGCCCCTTTTTGCTCCTAGGTTTCCTTTACCTAGTCATCCTGCTGCACCTCCTGAACATCTTAAAGAACCTTTGGTATACATGAGGAAAGCACAGGTGGGTTATTGTTCCATTTCATTTTATTTTTTCATGCCAAGTTATGTAATGCAGAGCAAAAGATCATTATTGATGTCAGGAGTATATATTATTAATTATGAAAGACTGGGTAAGAACACTAAATTGATGTTAATGGTATTTGTATATTCTCCCATTTCATTTTCAGTAACCAAGGATCGTATCTATTTAAGTGTGGCAACTCTGGAAAAAAAATGGGGTAGAAGGGAAAAAATCATCTACCATAATTGTCTGAAACTTAAAATATGATACAAGTGTAATGTGGCAATCTATTCTTCATGGCCTATTAATGGATATTAAAGGAATGAAATTAAAGGAATAAAATGTGAATGAACTGACACTCTCTTTCCTTAAAATTTTGGTTTTGAAGCCAGAGTTATTGATAGTGTATTTGAAATATATTTGTTCTCACAGCAGGCTGTCACCTATTAATTGTATTGTTATAAAACTCTGATAAACCTGCTATCAAAATGGGTTGGCAAACAACTAAGAATAACTTTAAAATAACAAAATAACATAATTTAAACATAAAAACTATGAATAGTTATTAAAATGGAAGCCAACAGGTTCAAGCACATGCTCTGGCTCTTTTAACTGTTCTTCATCTCAGCACGGCCTCATTTACCTCCCCTCAGCCCGGACCTGTCAGTAAGCCGTCTTCACAGTGCTAGCTGAGGACTCTGACTGCCACTGCCAAGGCATTTAATGAGCATCACAGTCAGTAGACCTTCATTCTTCAGCATAGCCTCAGAGATGGATTTTGTTGTTTTTTGTTTTTTGAGACAGAGTCTTGTTCTGTCGCCAGGTGCCAGGCTGGCGTTCAGTGGCACAGTCTTGGCTCACTGCAACCTCCATCTCCTGGATTCAAGCAATTCTCCTGCCTCAGCCTCCCGAGTAGCTGGGACTACAGGCATGCGCCACCACACCCAGATAATTTTTGTATTTTAGTAGAGATACGGTTTCACCATGTTGGCCAGGATGGTCTTGATCTCTTGACCTCGTGATCCACCCACCTTGGCCTCCCAAAGAGATGGATTTTTAAAACCTTTTTTGGTATGAAATATTTCAGAGGTACCTTAAAGAACTCCCCTAACTCAGCTTCTACAATTATCATCATGGTTCCTCTGCCCTTGAAAATTTTCTGCAGAGTCATCACATTCCACAACAGTGGAAATTAGGCAGATTTTTATTTTTCAACTTTTATTTTCATTTAAAAAATCATTAAAATTAGATGGTGAAAAGAAGCAGTATGAATAAAAACCATGGAAATATTTGAGGAAATATATATTTCTGTCTCTAGGTAGTCTCTTTTAGGGCTGGAAATCAGTTAATATTTATTTATCAATTTGTCATAAAGCATAATAGTTAAATGATCCATATGTGAAAGAATTGTGGGTTTTTTTTGTTATAAAGATTTAAACTAAAGAAAATAAAACTAAGAAGTCTGGGCTTAAATATTTTTTAGTGAAATTGAAACTTTCTAAACACTATAGAGCAAATATAAGTTTTAGCATACTAGGTGTAAGAAACAAAACACAAAGGTTTTTTTTTTTTTTTTTAATCATGACTGAAAATAAGAGATAGAGAGGTAAATAATAAGTCCACTCTTAGAGCTTACTGCTAGTTGCTGAGAGCATACGTGAATGATAAGTACATGTATGGTGCTCCTCTCTTTTCTTTCTGGAGTTACCTGCTTATATCAGGGATCTGCAAACTACAGCCTGTAGGCCAAATCCAACCTACCACCTATTTTTATAGGGCTGGCAAACTAGGAATTTTATTTTTACTTTTTACCGTTTTAACTGGTTTAAAAATCAAAATAAGGATATTCTTCATTCTTTGTAGATTCTGGATATTAGCCCTTTGTCAGATGGGTAGATTGCAAAAATTTTTTCCCATTCTGTTGGTTGCCAGTCACTCTAATGATTGTTTCTTTTGCTGTGCAGAAACTCAAGTTTAATTAGATCCCATTTGTCTATTTCGGCTTTTGTTGCCATTGCTTTTGGTGTTTTAATCATGAAGACCTTGCCTATGCCTATGTCCTAAGTGGTATTGCCTAGGTTTTCTTCTGGGGTTTTTATGGTGTCAGGTCTTATGTTTAAATCTTTAATCCATCTGGAGTTAATTTTAGTGAAAGGTGTGAGGAAGGGGTCCAGTTTCAGCTTTCTGCCCATGGCTAGCCAGTTTTCCCAATACCATTTATGAAACAGGGAATCTTTTCCCCATTGCTTGTTTTTGTCAGGTTTGTCAAAGATCAGATGGTTGTAGATGTATGATGTTACTTCTGAGGCCGCTGTTCTGTCCCATTGGTCTATATCTGTGTTTTGGTACCAGTACCGTGCTGTTTTGATTACTGTAGGCTTGTATCATGATACCTCCAGCTTTGTTCTTTTTGCTTAGGATTGTCTTGGATATGCAGGCTCTCTTTTGGTTCCATATGAAGTTTAAAGGATTTTTTTTTCCAGTTCTGTGAAGAAGGTCAATGGTAGCTTGATGGGGATAGTATTGAATCTATAAATTAATTTGGGCAGTATGGTCATTTCATGATATTGATTCTTCCTAACCATGAGAATGGAATGTTTTTCCATCTGTTTGTGTCCTCTCTTATTTCCTCGAGCAGTGGTTTATAATTCTCCTTGAAGAGGTCCTTCACATGCTTTGTTAGTTGTATTCCTAGGTATTTTATTCTCTTTGTAGCAATTGTGAATGGGAGTTTGCTCATGATTTGGCTCTCCATCTGTTATTGGTGTACAGAAATGCTTGTGATTTCTGCACATTGATTTTGTATTCTGAGACTTTGCTGAAGTTGCTTATTTGGCTTAAGGAGATTTTGGGCGAAGATGATGGGGCTAAATATGCAATCATGTTGTCTGCAAATAGAGACAATTTGACTTCTTCTTTTCCTAATTGAATACCCTTTATTTCATTTTCTTGCCTTATTTCTCTGGCTAGAATTTCCAATACTATATTGAATAGGAATAGTGAGAGAGGGCATCCTCGTCTAGTGCCAGTTTTCAAGGGGACTGCTTCCAGTTTTTGCCTGTTCAGTATGATGTTGGCTGTGGGTTTGTTGTAAATATCTTTTATTATCTTGAGATACGTTCCATCGATACCCAGTTATTGAGCGTTTTTAGCATAAAGAGCTGTAGAATTTTGTCGAAGGCCTTCTCTGCATCTATTGAGATGATCATGTGGTTTTTGTCTTTGGTTCTGTTTATGTGATGGATTACGTTTATAAATTTGCATACGTTGGATCAGCCTTGCCATCCCCAGGATGAAGCCTACTTGGTCATGATGGATAAACTTTTTGATGTGCTGTTGCATTCGGTTTGCCAGTATTTTATTGAAGATTGTCGCATCGATGTTCATCATGGATATTGGCCTGAAGTTTTCTTTTTCAGTTGTGTCTCTGCCAGGTTTTGGTATCAGGATGATATTGGTCTCATAAAATGAGTTAGGGAGGATTACCTCTTTTTGTATTGTTTGGAATAGTTTCAGAAGGAATGGTACCAGTTCTTCTTTGTATGTCTGGTAGAATTTGGCTGTGAACCCATCTGGGCTTTGACTTCTTCTGGTTGGTAGGCTCTTAATTGCTGCGTCAACTTCAGATCTTGTTATTGGTCTATTTAGGGATTCAATTTCTTCCTGGTTTAGTCTTGGGAGGGTGTAAATGTCCAGGACTTGGTCCATTTTTTCCTAATTTACTGATTTATGTGCATAGAGTTGTTTGTAGTAATCTCTGATGGTAGTTTGTATTTTTGTGGAATCGATGGTGATACCCCCTTTATCATTTTTTATTGCATCTATTCGATTCTTCTTTCTTTTTTATTAGTCTGGCTAGTGGTCTATTTTGTTGATCTTTTCAAAAAACCACCTCCTGGATTTATTGATTTTTTAAAGAGTTTTTTGTGTCTCTCTCTCCTTCAGTTCTGCTCTGATCTTAGTTATTTCTTGTCTTCCGCTAGCTGACCTTTTACGCTGTTTTAAAATTGTGTATTGCAGTCTTAAAAATTTGTATAGTATACTGACCCTTAAACAATGTGGGGTTTAGGGGTGCTGACTCTTCATGCAGTCAGAAATTCACATATAACTTTTTGACTGCCCCAGAACTTAACTACTTAATAGCCTACTGTTGACCAGAAACCTTACTGATAACATGAAGTGTATTGACACATATTTTACATGTTATATATATTATATACAGTATTCTTACAATAAAAAATGCTAGGGAAAAGAAAATGTTATGAAGAAAATTATAAGGAAGAAAAACTATATTTGTTATGAATTAAGTGTGTGTGGATCATTATAAATGTCTTCATCCTAATCATCTCCACATAGGGTAGGCTGAGGAGGAGTTGGAGGAAGGATTGGTCTTGCTGTCTTGCCTGGCAGAGGCAAAAGAGGTAGAGGAGGTGGAAGGGATCCAGGAGAGGCAGGCACACTTGGTGTAATTTTACAGAAATTCATTGTAACTCCCATCTGACATTTTTACTTTTTCATTTTTCTAAAAATATTTCTTTATGGTACCAGTCCTGTTTCACTGTTTGCTTTAGTTTCAACAGTCCATATTGCAAAATGGACCCTTCTATGATATGGGCACTGAGGTCAAAAGCAGTCTTGAATAATCATAACTCTTCTGCCAGGTTGTCTATTGTCAATTTGGTTTTTGGTACTGCTTTTTTTATGTGTTCTTCCTCATCATCTGACACTGGTCTGGAAGGACTCATCTCCATCAAGTTGTTTTTAATTAATCTTTCTGGTTTGGTGTCTATTAGCTGTTGTATTTCTCTAAAATCCATATCTTGCAGCCCTTCACTCCCAACCTTTTTTTTTTTGTCGTATCTACAATCTTTTTCATTATTTTTTTAAATTGATTCTCTTGTAAATCCTGTGAAGTCTGTACAACATCTGGAAACAGTTTTCTCCAGCAGGAATTTACTGCTTTGGGCTTGATGGCTTTCATAGCTTTTTCCATAACAACAATGGCGTCTTCAATGGTATAAGTCCTCCAAACTTTCATGATGCTTTCTGTATTGAGCTTTTCTTATCTGTTTCCTCCACCATTTGGGGTGGAAGTAGCAGGTAAGAGACGACTTGTTAGAGGAGATGATATTTAATCTGACACCAGAAAGGTGAATGAGATTTATCTAAATAAGGCAGGTGTAAAGATTTTGAATGTGGAAAGTAGGTTGTATCATTATAATTAATGTTTGCTCATTAACAACATACTCAAATAAGAAGTACCCAAATAAGCCTTGGCTCTAAGAGAATCCTTTATATTTAAAGAGGGAATTAAAATAAGTCAGTAAATAGAGTTAATTTGGGGACTGTTTCATGTAATTTATTGAGTATGCTTTTATTCTTGAAAATCTGTTTCTATAAATGTAGTAAACTGAGCTTTATACATTTCACATATTTATCATTCAGATGAATTTTTTTTTCTGTTCATTCACTGCTTGAGCTATTGCATTAAAATTTCTTAAAATACTTGCAACATTGCTTAGAGTGGAAATCTGTTTAATTATTGAGCATCTATTATGTGATAGACACAGTGTGATTTGTAGCATAATAGGTGAAGGACAGGGCACTATGAGAACCTGTAAGCAAAGTCACCTAATGCTATCTTGGGTGGGGGACCAGGTGAGAAAAATCATAATGGAGGAATGGATATTTTAGCTGATACCTAAAAGGTAAATATGATTTATTTAGACTAGAATAAGAATGTTGGAGGTATGAGTTGAGCTTGGAGAGCATATTTCAGATAAAGAGTAATGTATTTGAATGTGTATGTTGAAGAAGCTATGAATAATGACAGCTGTAGTTAAAACCATCACTTACTGAATGATAATTATTATATTGTGCCACTGTTTGAGGCAGTTTATTAAAGATATTAATATATCTTTAATCTTTGTTACAACCATATAAGGGAACTGTTATTATTATTTTACTTTCATTAACTGATTATTACTGTTCTTTATGAGTAATATATAGTTCTTTCCTTGTTTCCTCATTGGGTCTGAATTTGGGGACTTTGGTATTATTTTGTTTTGGTTTCAGTTGAGCCAGAAGTGGCCTGTAGGCACATTAATAAAAAGACAAAAAACATTATTATGGCATTTTAGCTTGTCATTGAAAATAATAGTATATTAAAATATGGTATTTATGGATAATGAAACCTATTACTATTAAAACTTAATTTCTATTTTATAAGAAATAGAAGGGATAATGAAGTAGGTAATCAATGCTATGAAAAATCATGAAAAATATCCAGATTGTGACTCATTCTAAAAGATAAGTGGCCTGGACTTTTTTAAAAAGTCAGTATCATAAAAAAGAAAAGGATAGAAAGATTCTAGATTTGAACTGCACTGAAAGAGATATAACAGCCAGTGAAATGTAATGCATGAATTTTGAGTGGATCTCAGATTTTTTAAAAAAAACTATAGAAGGTATTTTGAAGACAACTGGAAAATTTAAGTATGACATCATGAAATATTAATTTTCTTAGGTATGATAATGATATTGTGATGTGTAGAAAAAGGTTCTTAGTCTAAGAATATGCATACTGAAGTATTTAAGGGTAAAATGTAATTTTTGGAAAAATTGCAATGTAATAATTTCTGTAAATTTTTGTCTTTTACTAGGTCATTAATGGGATTCCTAAGTGTTAAACATTTATAAAATGCTTAAATTTAACTTATCTTTTTATCTGATATTTTCCATATAATGTTTTATTATCATCCTCATTCCCATCTTCAGCTAAAATGTCAGTTATTTGAGGATTGAGGCTTTCTGTTATTCACTGCTTCATTCACAGCACAAAGGATAGTATCTGGCATATAGTAGGCCACAGTCAGTATTTGTTGAGTGAACTGATGAATAAGGACAATCAATCTCAACCAGCCTTACCATTTCTATGTAATTCACAATATCTTTAATATTTTTATTAGTTTTAGTATTGTTACTAGTAAAGATAATTGATTGTTTTTTATGTTTTAGGGAAGTTGGGAAAAAAGAATTTTGAAGAGTTTAAATAGCATGTGCACTGAACTGAGTATCCCACTGGCACGAAAGGTACTGTTAAACATTTTTCTGTTTAAGTATTTCGTTGTGAATCAAATACTAGAAAGTGTGAAATTATATTACTATTAGGCACATTTATTTATTTATTTTTACTAGTATATCAACTTGCTTTGAAACAAAAATCTGTAAAAGGCCATTTATGTGAGTATATTCCATATAGATTTCTATTTTTTTGTGTGCTATAATAATTATTGTAACAAACCTGTATCTTTAAAAATAAATAGAAATATGAATCTATAGTATAGATGAGTTAGACATTTGGCTGTAAAGATTAGGAATATTCTTTAAAGATTTTAATTACCTTTAGTTTACTTACTTTGGCTGATTAGCACAGTAGCCATATTCCTTGAATCGCAGATAGAGTTCAGGTATACTGTGATCTTGTAATAGGCAATATGGTACCATCTTTCCGTATTAACATAGGAAACAAAAAGGATAATTTGTCATCTCTCTGTAGAACTGGAATTCTATATAGATCTAATACTGAACATATATCAGTATTAGATCCACATATAGTTTAAACTATATTTAAACATATAGTTTAAATTGATCTATCTTTGTAGGTGGTGGTGGTGGTCGAACAATACTCATCAACTCTTATTTTATAAAGAACATGTATAATTTAACTTACAAAGGAGTCTTACCCAGCAAACATGACATTATCACAATAGAGGAACTTCATGTCCAATTTGATGTTTCTTTCATTTATAAATGAATAAGTATTTATATAGTACTCAGAAGTCTATATTGAGCATTGAGGAGAAAGAGAGGAGAAAGAAAAGAAAAAACCCTTGAGGGATATTCTGTATTCTTGGTAGCTGCTTGTAAGTAGGAGAGAGCCAGTTTCACATCATTCTCCCTACCTGCTATTTATTCCCTGTTGTTGGACAGGATGTAGTGGATATACTTTGGATAATATCCAAGGAAAAATTACTGAAGGCAGCAGAAGGATGGTGTTTAAAAAAGGATACATTTACATTAAAAACTGTGTAAATATGTAGTGTTGTATAACACACTGCATTTCATATAGAAAGATGATGCTACTGACTCTTAGTCACATTCTCTTGGCCAGCACCCCTTGTGATGCTTTTCTGAGATTGCTGAATGGGAGTACGAGTATGTGGCTGAGGCGCAGTTTTTCATTGTGAAATTTACTGGCCAGTTTACAGATCACCTACCTTCTTTTATTGGACTTGTTAGCACCATGTTCTAACTAAGCCATTGAGACTAGGTATGACCTAATAAATAATAATTTAAGTGCAGTTACCCCCCAAATTCTACGTTTAATGAAATTATTTATCCTGTTATAGTAGTTTATTTAAGCTTGAAATAAGTTATTGATTCTTGTTTTTAGTTGTATTGCTAGACTTCAAAAAATGAAACCGGTTTTAAAATTACCTTTTCCAGAGGCCAGTTGGAGAACAGAAAGAACTTCTTAATAAATGGAATGAAATGGGAACTGATGAACCAGGTATGTGAACAATTTTTTTCAAAATGCAGTAGTGGAAAAAGAATTGCTTTCTTAACTGTGGATCCAAAATAACAGAATTAACAATTATTTTGGAAAGATGGCAATTTTCCTTCTCATTAATTTTCTATCATCTGAACAACCAGAGTTAGGCTGGCCTACTCAAACTGCCTAACACCATATGCAACTAATAAACGAGACATCAGGAGCAGCTTTTTTGTTGCTGTTTGTTTGTTTTTTAGAGACAGCGTCTTGCTCTGTTATCCGGGCAGTAGCATGATCACAGCTCACTTTAACCTCAAACTCCTGGGCTCAGAGGGTCCTTTCACCTCGACTGCTTGAGTGGCTAAAACTACAGGCCTGGCTAATTTTTCTATTTTTTGTAGAGATGGGGTTTTGCTATTTGGCTGTGGCTTTCTCTGTTGAACTCCTGACCTCAAGTAATTCTCCCACCACAGCCTCCCAAAGTGCTGGGATTACAGGTTTGAGCTACTGCACCTGGCCTTATTTATCCTTTTTAAAAGCAGCATTTAAAAATATTTTTATAAAATAATAAATTATCCAGTGGATTTTTAGATTCTTGTCTTTTAATTAAGGTGAATATTGTGCAAGCTTAATTACACTGAATTGTTAAAAATAGGATAAATAATGAAAAATACATTTGAAGACTTTAAAATGTTTTAAAGAATTCATTTTTGTTCATTTTAATATTTAAAATCTAGTCAATTTTATAAACATACAATGAATAACAACTATATTTCATTTACCATGATAGATGCCTGTAATTGTATAGACAGATATGTACATAACCTCTTTTCTCCTCTCCTTCCCCACATATAGGGGACTACGTAAGAGATAAATGCCATAACAGAGGAAGCAATGAGTTATTTGAGTTCAAAAGGGGGAATAGTTTAATACAATTAGAGGAATTCCTAAGAATGCATTGTTCGTATTTTAAGTACCTTGAGAATTCTCATATAGAACCTTTATGTTACATTGAAATTGTTTGGTTAATTCAGTTGTAAATAATTACAGCTTGTGAATAGGATGCTCTTAATTTCTTCCAGAATACGTCATCTAGGACGTGAAGGGCAGAGGTTGTCTTTTCATTTTAGTGTTCTCTGTACTTAACACAGTGTATGACAAATAGTTGATACTCAGGAAATGTTTGAATTAATCTATCTGCATGATATGAAAGAATGATGAATATTTATTTAATAAGACTTCATATATTAAAACAAACTGAAATTTTGTTTTAATCTATCTTCTAGATTTAAGCCTTTTCAGACCTGTTTATGCACCTAAGGATTTTCTTGAGGTAGGTTCTATTGGATAAATATACATATGTTAGTGAATGAATAATGTGAATAAATGATGATGTAAAAATATATCCAGGCAGAGGGATTAGCATGTAAAAAGCCCCAGAGTCATAGAAGCAGTGGAATGACATGATCAGATCTGTGTTTGAAACTACCCTTGGAAAATATGGAAAGATTAGCACTGGGTAAATCAGTTAGGAAAATTTTCATGAAAAAATAGGGACTGTACATCATGTAGCCTGCTGCCTGGGACATATAAGTACTCAGTAAATGTTTTTCTTTTTTATTCCCTTCCCTGTTCTAGTAGTCCAGAAGACATGATGAGTGTCTGTACTAAGAGAACAACATTGGAAATGGAAAGAATGTGACAGATTTGATGGAGATTTTAAGGATGATTTGGGAACTGATCAGATATGGGATCTATGAGGAAAAAAAATATAATGATCACCTTCAAACGTCTAGGTTGTGTAATTGGGCAGAAGTTACATGAGATAGAGGATACAGGAGGAGGAACAGGGCTGTTAGTGAAGGTGATAAGCTTAGTTAAGTTTCAGAGGCATATCAAATATTCAAGTTGAACCCTTCAGTAGACACTTAGAACTCATATTTTAATTCACTCATCTTTGATTTCACTCTTTCACTTGGACTTTACATGTTATTCTATTAGCTTTACCTTTGAAATATTCCAGAATACATCCAGTTTTTGCCACCACCACTGCTGCATCCTAGCTTCTCAACTGGTCTTACTCCTTCTACCTTTGCCCACCTAGAATCTGTTCTTAGCACAGCTTCCGGAGGAAGGCCTTTAAATGCAATTCAGAGTAAGCCACTCTTCTGCTATCCAGTGGCTTCCCATCTCATTTTACCTATTAAATTAAAGCCAAAGTCATGGCAGTGACCTAAAATACCCCATTTGGTTTGATATCCTATTAGCTGTCTGAGTTCATCTCCTGCTACTGTTCCTCTCGATTGGTCTTACTCCAACTACTTTAGCCTCCTTGCATATCCCTGGCTTTCTTCCAGCTGCGGGTCTTTGCTCTTTGTTTTATCTGCTTGCAAATATTTTTCCCTAAATATCTACCTGTATGTTCGCTCACTACTCATGTCTTTACTTACATATCACTTTCTTAGTAAAGGTTTCACTGGCTCTCTTGCTCGGAATTCCTCATACCCTTTTCCAGCTTTGTTTTTTCCTACAGCATCTAATGATGTATATAACATACTATTGATTTATTTTGCTTATTGCCTGTCTTTTTCCATGACCAATGAAGCTCCACAGGAGCAAGAGCTTTTCATTCTGTTTTGTTCCCTGCTTCAGCACTTATACAGGGTCAAATAATCGACAACACTCACAAGACTTCTCAGGGTCCACCCACATGTGCCTCTCTTTCAGCAGGAGAAAGAATGAACCTGCAAACACAAAGTGATCCACGTTTCCAGCAGAGCTCTCAGGCCTTTCTCAGTTACACAAGATACATTTAGATTTTTGGTTATAAACCATCAAGATACATGCAAGATATCTTGGTCTAGGGAGCCAAGACACAAGTTTTTTGAGGCATCATTTCTACCCCAACTTGTTATATCAAATGAAAACCCCAGTTTACGTTTTCAATAAACAATGTAAATAAACAGATGTGGAATGCCTTCCAGTTAGTTTTGGTCATTAAATAGCATATTACAACTGACTAGTTAGTACATTTCACTGCATCTTGGCCAAGGGTCACTACCAGATTTCTAGTCTCATTGTTCAACTCCTACTTATGAGGGAGAATGTGCAGTGTTTGGTTTTCTGTTCCTGTGTTAGTTTGCTGAGAATGATGGTTTCCGGCTTCATCCATGTCCCTGCAAAGGACATGAACTCATCCTTCTTGATGTCTGCATAGTATTTCATGGTGCCACATTTTCTTCGTCCAGTCTGTCATTGATGGGCATATCGGTTGGTTCCAAGTCTTTGCTATTGTGAATAGTGCTGCAATAAATATATGTATGCACACATCTTTATAGTAGAATGATTTATAATCCTTTGGGTATATACCCAGTAATGGGATTGCTGGGTCAAATGGTATTTCTGGTTCTAGATCCTTAAGGAATCGCCACACTGTCTTCCACAGTGGTTGAACTAATTTACACTCCCACCAACAGTGTAAAAGTGTTCCTATTTCTCCACATCCTCTCCAGCATCTGTTGTTTCCTCCCTTTTTAATGATCACCATTCTACCTGGCATGAGATGTGACCTCATTGTGGTTTTGATTTGCATTCCTCTAATGACCAGTGATGCTGAGCTTTTTTACATATGTTTTTTGGCCACACTGATGTCTTCTTTTGAGAAGTGTCGGTTCATATCTTTCATCCACTTTTTGATTTTTTTTTTCTTGTAAATTAGTTTAAGTTCCTTGTAGATTCTGGATATTAGCCCTTTGTCATATGGATAGATTGCAAAACTTTTCTCCCATTCTGTAGGTTGCCTGGTCACTCTGATGATAGTTTCTTTTGTTGTGCAGATGCTCTTCAGTTTAATTAGATTTCATTTTGTCTATTTTGACTTTTGTCGCCATTGCTTTTGGCATTTTAGTCATGAAGTCTTTGCCTATGCCTATATCCCGAATGGTATTGCCTAGGTTTTCTTCTAGGGTTTTTATGGTTTTAGGTCTTATGTTTAAGTCTTTAATCCATCTTGAGTTAATTTTTTAATAAGGTATAAGGAAGAGGTCCAGTTTCAGTTTTCTGCATATGGCTAGCCAGTTTTCCCAACATCATTTATTAAATAGGGGATCCTCTCCCCATGGCTTATTTTTGTCAGGGTTGTCAAAGATCAGATGGTTGTAGATGTGTGGCATTATTTCTGAGGCCTCTGTTCTGTTCCATTGATCTGTATATCTGTTTTGGTACTAGGACCATGCTGTTTTGGTTAGTGTAGCCTTGTAGTATAAAGTCAGGTAGTGTGATGCCTCCAGCTTTGTTCTTTTTACTTAAGATTGTCTTGGTTATACAGGTTCTTTTTTGGTTCCATATGAAATTTAAAGTTGTTTTTTCTAATTCTGTAAAGAAAGTTAATGGTAGCTTGATGGGGCTAGCATTGAATTTATAAATTACTTTGGGCAATATGGCCATTTTCACAATATTGATTCTTCCTATCCATGAGCTTGGAATGTTTTTCCAATTGTTTGTGTCCTCTCTTATTTCCTTGAGTAGTGATTTGTAGTTCTCCTTGAAGAGGTCCTTCACATCCTTTGTAAGTTGTAGTCCTAGGTATTTTCTTTTCTTTTTTGCAACTGTGAATGGGAGATCACTCATGGTTTGGCTCTCTGTTTTTCTATTATTGGTGTATAGGAATGCTTGTGATTTTTGCACATTGATTTTGTATCCTGAGACTTTGCTGAAGTTCTTTTTCAGCCTAAGGAGATTTTGGGCTGAGAAGATAGGATTTTCTAAATATACTATTGTGTCATCTGCAAACAGAGACAATACAATTTGACTTCCTCTCTTCTTATTTTAATACCCTTTATTTCTTTCTCTTGCCTGATTGCCCTGGCCAGAACTTCCAACTCTATGTTGAATAGGGGTGGCGAGTGTATATTCTGTTGATTTGGGGTGGAGAGTTCTGTAGATGTCTATTAGATCCACTTGGTTCAGAGCTGAGTTCAAGTCCTGAACATTCTTGTTGATTTTCCGTCTTGTTGATCTGTCTAATACTGACAGTGGTGTGTTAAAGTCTTCCATTATTATTGTGTGGGAGTCTAAGTCTCTTTGTAGGTCTCTTAACAACTTGCTTTATGAATCTGGATGCTCCTGTTTTGGGTGCATATATTTAGGATAGTTAGCTCTTCTTGTTGCATTGATCACTTTACATTATATAATGTCCTTCTTTGTCTTTTTTGATCTTTGTTGATCCAAAGTCTGTTTTATCAGAGACTAGGATTGCAACCCCTGCCTTTTTTTTTTTGCTTTCCATTTGTTTGGTAAGTATTCCTCTATCCTTTTATTTTGAGCCTTTGTGTGTGTCTTTGCACATGAGAGGGTCTCTTGAATACTGTACAACAAGAAGTCTTGACCCTTTAGCCAATTTGCTAGTCTGTGTCTTTTAATTGGGGCTTAGCCCATTTACATTTAAGGTTAATATTGTTATGTGTGAATTTGATCCTGTCATCATGATGCTAGCTGGTTATTTTGCCCATTAGTCAATGCAGTTTCTTCATAGTGTTGATGGTCTTTACAATTTGGTATGTTTTTGCAGTGGCTGGTACCTGTTTTTCCTTTTTATATTTAGTGCTTCCTTCAGGAGCTCTTGTAAGTCAGGCTTGGTGGTGACAAAATCTCTCAGTATTTGCTTGTCCATAAAGTATTTTGTTTCTCCTTCACTTATGAAGCTTTTTGGCTGGATATGAGATTCTGGATTGAAAGTTTTTTTCTTTTAAGGATGTTGAATATTGGCCCCCACTCTCTTCTGGCTTGTGGTGTTTCTAAAGAGAGATCTGCTGTGAGTCTTGATGGGCTTCCCTTTGTGGATAAACAACCTTTCTCTCTGGCTGCCCTTAACATTTTTTCCTTCATTTCAACCTTGGTGAATCTGAGAATTATGTGTCTTGGGGTTCCTCTTCTCGAGGAATATCTTTGTGGTGTTCTCTGTATTTCCTCAGTTTGAATGTTGGTTTATCTTGTCAGGCTGAGGAAGTTCTCCTGGATAATATCCTGAAGAGTTTTCCAACTTGGTTCCATTCTCCTCGTCACTTTCACATACACCAGTCAAACATAGGTTTGGTCTTTTCACATGGTCCCATATATCTTAGAGGCTTTGTTCATTCATTTTCATTCTTTTTTCTAATCTTGTCTTCATGCTTTATTTCATTAAGTTGATCAATCTCTGATATCCTTTCTTCTGCCTGATCGATTTGGCTATTGATACTTGTATATGCTTCACAAAGTTCTTGTGCTGTGTTTTTCAGCTCCATCAGGTCATTTTTATTCTTTTCTAAACTGGTTATTCTAGTTAACAATTTGTTTAGCCTTTTTTCAAGTTTCTTAGCTTCCTTGCATTGGGTTAGAACATGCTCCTTTAGCTCAGAGGAGTTTGCTATTACCCACCTCCTGATGCCTACTTCTGTCAATTTGTCAAACTCATTCTCCATGCGGTTTTGTTCCCTTGCTGCCAAGGAGTTGTGGTCCTTTAGAAGAGAAGAGGCATTTTGGTTTTTGGAATTCTCAATTTTTTTGCACTTGTTTTTCCTCATCTTCATGGATTTATCTACTTTTGGTCTTTGATGTTGTGACCTTTAGATGGGGTTTTTGAGTGGATGTCCTTTTTGTTGATGTTGATGCTATTCCTTTCTGTTTGTTAGTTTTCCTTCTAACAGGCCCCTCTGCTGCAGGTCTGCTGGAGTTTGCTGGAGGTTCACTCCAGACCCTGTTTTCCTGGGTGTCACCAGCAGAGGCTGCAGAACAGCAAAGATTGCTGCCTGTTCCTTCCTCTGGAAGCTTTATCCCAGAGGGGCACCTGATAGATGCCAGCCAGAGATCTCCTGTATGAGGTGCCTGTTGACCCCTGCTGGGAGGTGTCTCCCAGTCAGGAGGCCTGGGGGTCAGAGGCCCACTTAAGGAGACGGTCTGTCCCTTAGCAGAGCTCAAGCACTATGCTGGGCAATCTGCTGTTGTTTAGAGCTGGCAGGCAGGAATATGTAAGTCTGCTGAAGCTCCACCCATAGCCACCCCTTCTCTGAGGTGCTCTGTCCCAGGGAGATGAGAGTTTCATCTCTAAGCTCCTGACTGGGGCTGCTGTCTTTCCTTCAGAGATGCCCTGCCTAGAGAGGAGGAATCTAGAGAGACAATCTGGCTGCAGGGGCTTTGCCAAGCTGTAGTGGGCTCTGCCCCATTCAAACTTCCCCCTGGATTTGTTTACACTGTGAGGGGAAAACCATCTATTCAAGCCTCTGTAATGGTGGACGCCCCTCCTCACACCAAGCTTGAGTGTCCCAGGTTGACTTCAGACTGCTGTGCTTGCAGCAAGAATTTCATCCAGTGGATCTTAGCTTACTGGGCTCTGTGGGGGTGGGATCTGCTGAGCTAGACCACTTGGCTCCCTGACTTCAGCCCCTTTGCTAGGGGAGTGAACAGTTCTGTCTCACTGGCATTCCAGGCACCACTGGGGCATGAAAAAAACTGCAGCTAGCTCAGTGTCTGCCCAAATGGCCACCCAGTTTTGTGCTTGAAACCCAGGGTCCTAGTGGCATAGGCACCTGAGGAAATCTCCTGGTCTGCAGGTTGTGAAGACCATGGGAAAAGCGTAGTATCTGGGCCAGAATGCACCATTCCTAACAGCACAGCCCCTCAAGGCTTCCCTTGGGTAGGGGAGGTACTTCCCCGATGTTTTGTGCTTCTCGGATATGGCGATGCTCCACCCTGCTTTGGCTTGCCTCCGTGGGCTGGACCCACTGTCCACCCAGTCCCGAGGAGATGTGCTGGGTACCTCAGTTGAAAATGTAGAAATCACCTGCCTTCTGCATTGATCTCTCTGGGAGCTGCAGACCAGAGCCATTCCTATTCAGCCATTTTGCCAGCCACCCCCTTAATTACAGTTTCTCCATTTCTAATATTTTTATTTTTCTGTTACTCAAGTATTCTGTTTCTTCTCCTTTTTCTATCTTTCACGTTTTACAGTTTCCCCTGAAGTATGATTCCTTATTTATGTAATTAGGCTAAAATTGAGCTGTTAGATAATTAGGCTAAAATTGTAGATTCTTTGCTATTTTTTTTATTTTTTAAAACAAATACCATTGATATTTTTAGTTTCAATATAGTGTTTGCAATTTTAGGAAACTTTTGGTATTATAGCACATATTTTATCAGCTGTTAGCTATCAGTTCATTAGTGTCTTCCTCAAATATGATGGTGTTTCTGTCATCATAATCTCTTCCACTAGATTCTTAATGGCTTTTTTTCTCTCAAGAGTTTTACTTAAAAATATTTTATAAAATTACTATTTCCAGAAAAATGCATGTTGTTAGAAAAATAAGAACGCATGCACAAGAATAAATTTTGAAATAAAACAACCCACAATTATATTGCACAGCAATTACTATCATTATGATACTTTAAAAATAATATATTATTAACATTTTTTATGTCATTGCCCATATTAATTGAGGCATATTATACTGTATTTTATTATATGAATTCATTATACTTTATTTAAATAATTTCTTATAATGGGTTAAATTGTTTCTTATTTTTCCAATGTAAACAGTACTTCACTAACATTATTTCTGTATGATCCTAGCAAACATATTTATTTTATTAGAATTATATTCTATATTTATACTAATAGAAGTAAGATTCCTACATTAAATGGTGTGTCAGTATCTAAGTTGGCTTTTTCTGTTTTTTGTTTTTTGTTTTTTTTTTTTTGAGATGGAGTCTTGTTCTATAGTCTAGGCTGGAGTGCAGTGGCATATTCTCAGCTCACTGCAACCTTCACCTCCTGGGTTGAAACAATTCTCTTGCCTCAGCCTCCCAAATATCTGGGACTATAGGCACATACTGCCATGCCCGGCTGATTTTTTGTATTTTAATAGAGACAGGGTTTCACAGTGTTGCCCAGGCCAGTTGCAAACTCCTGAGCTCAGGCAATCCACTGGCCTCGGCCTCCCAAAGTGCTAGAATTATAGGTGTGAGCCACCATGCCTAGTTGCTTAGTTTTGAAAATTATATAAATGACTTTTTTTTTAGCTTTGCTTTTCAAATTTTTTTTTTCCTTGTGAGTTTGGTTTAGAGATGCCCTGCAATCTTACTTCATCATCTTTCTACAAATCTTGTCAATTTCTGTTTTTAAATGTGTTAGAATTGATTCTAAATTTTTTCCTGATAAATATTACAATCAAGCAAGTTTTTTTTTCCCCCTATCTCCTTCTCTGGTAAAGTGTTATAATCAGGCAATTTTTATTTTTCCTAATGGAAAAGTTTTAATTAATTAATTAATTTTTTTTATTATACTTTAAATTCTGGGATCCTTATGCAGATCTTGCAGTATTGTTACATAGGTATATACATACTCTAACTTTGTAGAGTTTTAGATTGTAGATTATTCACTGGAATATTAAAACTATCCCAATTAAAGTATATTTATGACATTATATTTTAACATTTCAATATACTTTATAGCATTTTAGAATGTAATTAAAGTATATGCATCATCCCAAATAGTAATTAATTTTGTGGTGATATACCAAGAATATCCCTGCTAATTTTATAAGTGTAAACATCCTATAAAGAAACTAACCAATTTTGTTGGATTTGTTTTTAAAGGTATTAATTAATCTTCGCAACCCAAATTATGAAAATGGTGATTCTCTTAGTTTCAGGACTCATTTGGGTTTAATTCAAATTCCACTGAAAGTAAAAGACATCCCTGAATTGGTAAGTATAGAAATTTAAAAATAAATTAACATCATTTAGGAGATAACCATTAGAAAAAATGTTTTAATACAGCATGTATCTAAAGCAATAGGGTAATCTACTCATTAAACAAATTAATAAAGTGACATTTATTTTTTTATTACAAATATGTGTATAGACAGAGCAAGTTGCTTTGCTAATAGGACTAAAAATGAGCTCATATTGACCTATAAATGCTTTTGCTTATTCCATATTTTAATAAACAGCATAGATTTATGAGACAGCTTGTTGGGATTCAGATGCCTGATGTATGGCTATAAGACTGATTGAAACAAATAGTGAGTTTTATAAAACTATTTTTAAGAAAGTACATTTTATTTAATTTGACCAGCTTATATGGAGCTTGTAACAAGGTGAGGCACTTAGGGAGATGGAGAACATAAGTTAATTAGAGATTAGCTTTGCTCTGGATATGGTAATATTTTTGTGAGGAAGTTCATTTTAAAATGAAAGGTGGGGGAGATTTCCTGATGGTGGAGTTAAGAAATTATCACTCCTTCTTTTCAAAGTCACCCTAAAACAATAAAGAGCATATAAATATTGTCTTTGGTGAAACTAGGAAGCCACTTATAACTCAGGGCTTTAATGTATTAAGATAGAGACCTGATAATAAATGATAGGGGAGAAGAAGATCAAACCTAATGTCTCTACAAGATAGAAAGTATGGATGACAAGTGTGTCAATCATCAGATTATTATCTTTCAGCTCCAAATCCTCCTTTTTGCTCTTTTTTATTATGCTGGAGCTGGACCCTGTAAACATTTCCCTTTTGCCAGCAGGCCTGATGTTAGGTTTGTCAATAGAAGGTTCTAGAGGGACACTGCAAGGCCATAGCTGGAGGAAGCTGCTTCCATTTCTAGGTCTTGTGTGTGGGAACCAGCAGACTGGAATGCAGGAGGCTCAATGATACTCACCTCAGCAGTTCTCAATAGTCTAGCTCTAACCTGCTCCTTGATGAGTTTTTCCCCTACCCTTAGCCTGCCTTCATGTGGCAGCTACCCTGCTTCTCTGCATAGATGTGCGTCTCAGCCTTCAGGCCAAGGGACCCTTTTCTAAGTTCTTAGTTTCTTCTTTGTTTACTTTCCTTTAGCCTAGAAGTCATAGTTGCTGTCTGCATTTGCTTTTTCTATTTTTCCCTGTTCACATTTCTGGTATGACTTCTATTTCCTGACTAGACACTGACTGATGCAAGAAGCAAGATGATTTTCTCCACAGAACCTTAGAAATGCTCAAGAATTGGAGATAACCACATGTCACAGAAAACCATGGTGAGCCATAGGGCTGAAAATGGAGATTGTGTGGAAGTCTGGATCAGGAGAAGTTAGTCCCCCAGATTCCCATCACCATGCATACTCAGATGACTCCTCCTCCCCCACAGAAGACCAGAGGCGTATTCACTAGAGATCCAGATTCAGAAAGGCTCTACACTCAGGAGACCTCAGACATAGAGCAGGACAGGTATGAGCTACTCAAAACAGGGGTTAAGTGAAAGTCTGCTGGATGGTGAGACTAATACTCTCATTCTTACCACCACGACTCTACCTCCCCCACCCTCCACCTTCTTCCTTACCCTCAACCAATTCTAGAATGCTAGAGAGAAGAATAACAGGATTTTAGAGAACCCTTACAAAAAAGAGGTTGGCTGGCTATAAAGTTGTCTCACAGTGAAGCCTACTGCTTTCTATGCCGAATCCTTGCAGACAGAGTTTCCAGTCAGTGTTTAATTTTCATTTCTAATTAGGAATGACCAGTCTAGGAACCCCAGACTTTTGAACTTTTCCACTATGAGAGGCAGAGACCAAACTAAAGCAAACCCAAATAACAACAACAATAACAAAACCCAAATAGCCAAATTAGGGAATGACCACTAATAGGCATTTCAGGTTCTGATTTACATTCACATTCACAGGATAAAGTAGACAATAACCTGGCACCAGTTCACTTAAACTTGTGAATGAAACAGAACAGAAAACATAGCATGATAGTATACTAGCATGCCATTAGCAGGGAGATCATCACTGAGAGTCCTTACAGCCATCCAAATACTACTTCAGCGCTCACAAGGAAGGTATCCAACCGGAAATGACAAGTCACATAGGCACAACATAGGGAAGTCTCATACACAATAGGAGTCATTTCTTGTAATGTACATAAGCATAGCCTCTAAGTCCTCTCAAGAGACACCACACAGGTGGCTAAGGCCTGTGTTTTCCAATCAGTTTTTATACTCCACTCACAGTGTTCCATTTCAGATGTCATTCACCAGTCAAGAATCATACGTTTTCAATAAATAACATTGCCTAGTAATACAGTGGGGAAATTTCTCTTAGAATTGTTTTTTTGTGTGTGATTCAGTACATTTTTAGGGCAACAATGATGGGAAAGGTAAAGCTAATGTCATCTTCAAATGGACATTTATTCCCAAAAGAAGACTTTAAAGAAACCATTAATATTCTCAGAAATATATTACTCATGAAACAACAGAATTTCATTAATGCAAGAAAACACTTGAGGATGAAAAAGGTTTTTGGATTAAGAATATAGTATGCCAAAAAATGCATATAGATGAATTGAAAACAAAGCTGAGGAAATGTTTATCAGAAGATGTAGTAAAAAGTCAAAGAAATGAAAAGTAGAAGGGAAAAGATTTCTTAAATTACAAGATTAATCTACAAAGATTAACATCTGACCAGGAGTTCCAGAAAAGGGAAGCAGAGGGAAGAGAATTAAGTTTATAAGAATTTAAGAAAGATATGGATCTCCAGTGAAAAGGCTTGCCAAGTACCCAGTGCTGTGGATGACAGAAGATCCACACAAGGCACTTGAAAATGAGAAAACTGAAAATTTTTGTAAAAGGAAAGCAGAGTATGTTGGTGTCAGGAATCAGAGTGGCATCTTACTTTCAGCAGCAACACTGGAAGCCAGAAGATTTTGAAGTAATGTCTTTAAAAACCTGAGCGATTTCAACCTGGAAGTCTATATGTAACCAACAACCGTGAAGGTGGAGTAAACATTTTCTGATGTACTGATCTAAAATATTTACTCTTATTTAGGGAGCTCTTGGTAGAAGTGCTTCAAACAAGGTCATAAACAAAAAGCAAAACACGGGACCCAGAAAGCACGATCCCAACTGAAGAGAAGGAGAATTTCCAGAGATGATAGTGAAGAGAAGTTCCAGGACAAAGGCTGTACAAATGGACTGAAATACAACAATCCTAGATAGGAGCAGGAGGTTGGAAGGTTCCAGGAGGAAGGCCCGCAGGAAAAACAACAAAACTATAGATGATCTCACAGGCATGACCACATGTGAAATTATATTAAGGAGGATCTTTTCAGAGTTGTTGTGGCTTTAGGAAAAGGAAGTAAATGGTTAGAAAAAATTGTATAAGTGAAAAAAACAGTTTAATTATGAACAGTGTGGAAATAAGTATAAGAATGGAAACATCGATAAATACCACATGCCTCACCAGTGAAATATTTACATAGTCACAATAATGCAAATTCTTAAGATGGATTTAATTAAGAATTAATATATAATTAGGATGATGGAAGTAAGGATGTGCATGAGCTAAAATCCTTATTTACCATGTAAAATCAATAGATGGTATCTGAAGCTGGTGAATTAAAAATAGCAATCTATATTCATATGGAAATAAGGTGATAAATACCTGGAAAAAAAAACCTGAAAGTGATTGTGCCTGAGTAGAGGGCCAATTATGATTGTGCATGATGTGTGCATGTGTGTTGGGGAGGAGTGTATAAGACAGGGAAGTGCTGTTTTGTTCTTGAAAGTCTTTTAGCTGATTTCATTTCTTAAACTCTTTGCTGCATGAAGCCAGCCAACTTGAAGGAGTTTGCTAGTTAAAAAAGCAGGGAAAGGATAATTTAGGAAAAGATTCAGCTCTTGTGTGAATAAGACTACTTTGTATTCTGTCTGCCTGAAGGGACCTTAAACTGGATGCACATGCATTCTTAGTTATTGGAGAACAAAAAGCCTGTGGCTAATTTTCAAGAAATTGTGGCTATATGACTAAGAGCTACGGTTAGTCCTTTTATTCCTCAGTCATTACGGATAGTTGTTTCTGCCTTGCCTATATCATGTAGCTTGGCAATATAATGATTCTGACTCCAGGATGCGTGGTTTATCTGTGACCCCAGTTCTACCTGTACAAATATTGAACTTGGTGAGGCTCAGTGAGTCCCGTGATCCTATGATGGAAAGCCCTTAAACCTAATTACAATGTTATGTAGACTCATACATATTAAAGAGAAATTCCTTATAACAGATTTATTAACTCTAGAGTGTAGTTGTGACAAATTCCTATTTACTAATTTGATTATGTGGTGGCAGCTAGTTGATACTAAAGCTAAGTAGTAATATTTATTGGACAGCCTTGCTATGTCAGGCCCTATGCCAAGTATTGAGGCAGAGTGCAAATGTGTATAAGAGACAGTCTTTGTCTTTCAAGAGCTGCAGGCTAGTGGTGAAGTGGGCAGTAAAAATACAGTTTCAGTATGATGTGATTGTGTGCTTGGATAGAGGTTGATAAAGGATAATATGTACGCATAGAAAGTTGCTTATTTCAGCTTGGAATATTAAAGGAGGCTTTTTCAAAGATGTGATACCTAGGGTGAGGTTTGAAGGATATCTGAGATTAGGTCCATGTCTGCTGACGTTGAGTTAAAAATAGTCCAGAGCAATGAGGTAGGAAATGGATGTTTAGAGTTCTGTTTATGCTTTTTAACATGTCCTAGCATAAGCAAAACTCTCCATTTTAATTACAGAACCTAATATTAAAGCATTTATTGGGTCTAAGTCCTTTTTGTAGTATGAAGACTATTTTTAAAAAATGAATTACAAATGATTTTAATTATAGAAGAATGTGTTAAAATAAATGGAAAACAATGATTGAAAATGGAAGAATAACAAATTTTTACCTCTTCAGTCATTGAAAATTGGTAACATAAGATGTAGTACTTTTTTTAAGGTAGATACAGTTTAGTTAAAAATTGAAATATAATAGTAGTTATTTAAAATCAATACAAAATGAAATGTGTATATGTGTATTTTTTTTTTTTTTTTTGAGCTAGAGTTTCGCTCTTGTTACCCAGGCTGGAGTGCAATGGCGTGATCTCGGCTCACTGCAACCTCTGCCTCCTGGGTTCAAGCAATTCTCTTGCCTCTGCCTCCTGAGTAGCTGGGACTATAGGTGCACATCACCATGCCCAGCTAATTTTTGTATTTTTTAGTGGAGACAGCGTTTCACCATGTTGACCAGGATGGTCTCGATCTCTTGACCTCGTGATCCACCTGCCTCGGCCCCCGCAAAGTGCTGGGATTATAGGCGTGAGCCACCGCGCCCGGCCATATGTGTATGTTAGGCTGAATAACTGGTCTTGTAAAGGATGTTAATAAATCACCAACTTAAATAATAATAGATAATTGGTAAGGATTAAAACTAATTCCATTTTTTAAAGGACAAGGAAGTATGGTTTTAACAATTAGAGTAGTAACAAAATACTGAGGCAAATATTAATAGAAATATTTAATTACTTAGGGCATAAAATGTGAATAATGTAAGGTTTTTATATATTTAAAAATACCAGACAGACATTATTATTTCCTTAGACATTACTAGATAAGGAGAGGAAGTCTGGAGAATAAATCTGATTTATTGTTATTTTAGCAGAGCACTTGATGGTCCAATTGTACTTAAAAATTAATTTAAGTTGTTTTGGATATTTTCAGTGTTTAGTTGATTAAGATCTGAGTGTAGGACAGTATCATAGAAAGCACAAATACAGGATCACAGTGGTAATTTTAGACAATGATTTTTGAAGATAAAATTGGTAAGTGATACGTATACTGAGTGTTTGTTTGTGTGTGTGTATGTTTCAGGAAAGGTTGAAGTTAGTTTTCTACTCAAAGAATAATTATCATTCCTTACTTTACTGAGTAGTCTGTTACCTAAAAAGGCAAAATCAAGAATGATTTTGGAAAGCAGTTCTTTTAAACAGTGGCAGCACTCATTGATCAAATGGCAAGAAATAACATTTTTCTTAGGTAGGAAAACTAGGAGAAAGAAAAGTATTGCTGATGGCTCTCTATTTGGAAAAATATATGTTTGTGTCGTTCCAATTATATATTAATATTTCCTGAATGCTTATATCTTTTCTATTCATGATTGTTTCATATGTAAATGATAAATATCATATAGTAATAACTAGTTATTCTTCTCCTTAATTTTGGACTAATGCATTATTATTTAGATATTTAATATGTCCTTTTCTTTTTTAGGTATTTGAATAAAGCAAAGCCTCATTTTACATTGTGATTTGTATTTAAGCTGATGTTTAGGCAAAGGTGATCTTTTAACAATGTGCAGCAAAGTCTGAGATCTATGTTAATTCTTCATATGTTATTTTTCAGAAAGAATGCTTTGTGGAACTTGGCTTAAATACAGGACAACTGGGTATAGATGATTCTACACAAGTGCCTCCTGGTTAGTATTTTTCCAGTGGCATATAATTAATGATAAATGAGAGTGAGCTTAAGGTTTATATTGCTATATCCAAATTAATCTAGCAATATTTTTATATCTGAAAACTAAGCATGCTTTTGCCTCTCCTTGGCTATTGTTATTTATTGAATAGAATGAATCCTGTATGTTGTAATTATTAGAGTTCAACTAAATTTTGTCTTTTTATTTGAAAGTCTTTAAATGATTTCGAAAAGTCATTAGACATGTGTTATTTTGTTGTCAGAACTTTACTGGCAACATCCTTTCCTGGCCATCAGTATCTATTTTTATTTTTGTATCACCAAGTTAAGTGATCACTGACATTATTTTTGTATCATCAACTTAAGTGAACAGCTTCAGTTAACTTTGCCTTTAAAAATAGTGTATTTTAAACCTTAATAATCCAAGCAGTTTTCCTAACTTTTCCCTTTTTGTGCATAAATTCAATTATTAAAGAACTAGATTGGTATTTAGCTATAATAAAAAGGAAGTAAAAATTGACTTAAAGTTTGGGAGCCCTGTATTATCGTGGAAATAATACTAGATAGGGGTTAGGAGACTATTCCAGTCTTTTCTCTGCCACTGGCTAGCTGTGTAACTTGCACAAGTCACTATATATCTTTGGATTTGTTTCTTCCTCTATAAAATAAACAAGTTGGATATTATTACAATTATAATAGCAATATTACATAATTATTATTATTACTATATAATTAGAAATAACCATTGAGCACATCCTATATATTGCATCTATATTGTCTTATTTTAACCTCTCAGCAACTCCTTCTATTTCTATTTTTTAAATATCTTATTAATGTATAATGCATATAGAAAAGCACATAGATAATTAAGAGGACAACTTGAATTTTTACAAACTGAATACATCTATTAAAATACCCAGAACACTAAACAGAACCCCTCCTTCTGCCCTCTATCAATCTTCAATCCCCATTTCAAAGATAACTGATTTCTAGCAGCATAGATTAGTTTTTCAAATACTTGAACTTAATGTGAATAGATGCATACAATGTGTCTCTGTGATGTTTGACTTCTTTTGTTCAAATTATATTTGTGACATTCGACCATATTGTTGTATGTATTTGTAGATCATTTGCTTTCCAGTGTTCCACTGGATGCATATACCACACATTTGTTTATCTATTCTACAGTTGATAAATATTTGGGAAGTTTCAAGTTTGAGGATAGTACAAATAAGGCTACTATGATCATTCTAGTATGTGTTTTTTAGTGAGCATATCTATATTTTGCTGTTGGGTATATAAGTGAGAGTGTATTTTCTGGGTCCTAGAAATATTCATTCATTCATATTCTTATTTGTATATGTTCATCTTTAGAAAATAACTGCCAGTGAGTTTTAAAAAGTGGTAGTCCCAGTTTACACTTCTAGAGAGTCATAGTTTTGATGTATGTCCTTACTAATGCTTGGTGTATTTCATCTTTGTTTTAGTCAGTCTGGCAGTGTATAGTGGTATTGCATTATGGTTTTAATTTTTTTATATAATGTGATATAGGATTACTATCTCCATTTTAAAGTTGAAGATGTGGAGATGTTAAGTGACTTGCTCAAGGTCACAAAACTAGTAATATATGACACTATATTTCTTTCAAGTAACACTAGAAAGAAATGTAGTGTCATATATAGCTGTTTTTGCCTAAAATTTATTATTTTCAAAATATTCAAAACTTCCACCAACAATGTATGAGAGTCATAGTTTTGATGTATGTCCTTACTAATGCTTGGTGTATTTCATCTTTGTTTTAGTCAGTCTGGCAATGTATAGTGGTATTGCATTATGGTTTTAATTTTCTTATATAATGTGATATAGGATTACTATCTCCATTTTAAAGTTGAAGATGTGGAGATGTTATGTGATTTGCTCAAGGTCACAGAACTAGTAACTGGTAAAGCCAGGATTCAAAACTAAGCAGTTTGTCTCCAGAGTCTATTACACTGTGCTGCCTTCCTCCTGCCACTGTTGACAGCCTTTTCTTCTTTTATAAGAAGATGTAAAATATCTTATAAAATAAAATCTCTTATACTTTTATTCATGGCAAATGATAGTCATATAAGAAGAGGAAAGGAAGTAGTAGCACAACCTTGAATTATATTTTTATTTTTCACTTTTGAAGTAATCTTTAAGAATTATTTAAAATTATTCTAAATATCATAGTATCTATGCTTTAAAAGACTTAATATACTGTATTTTAAACTTACAGTGTGGATTTTCCTTCTTTGATTCACTCATAATAAAACAAATGTGTTTGAGACCCTACTGAGGGCCTCAGTCCCTGGACTGGTGGATACAGAGATATACATAGAATACATAGACATAAGACATAATCTCTGCTTTTAGGGGAAAAATGGTGGTAAGTGACAGATAAAATACAGTGTGGTATTTGCTGTTATTACATTTAAAGGGTGGTTGGAGCATATGGAAGAACAACTGAGCCTACTTGAAGGAGGTTGACAATCTCTTAGTTGATGTGGTTATTGTTCTTTCTCTACTTTTCAAAGCAGGGCTGCTAAAAATTGAATCAAATTAGTGTTTTTCTGGTGAAATTGTTTTTAGTGGTATAGGACTTGGATTTTTGCCTGACTTGTGAATTGCTGGCAACAGTGTTACTTGAAAGAAATGTAGTGTCATATATAACTTTTTTGCCTAAAATACATTATTATTTTATTTTTTAGTCTGTGTCTTTTGCTTTGACTAAATTTGGAATGTAATGCTAATGTTTGAAAATGTTGCTCATACTTGTGTTTGGCTAGAGGTAAGTTTTATATTCAGAATTAGGTTTAAGTGTGACTTAAAGAAATTGGTTTCTTACTCGTCTTTAAAACCTCTGTTACCTATGTTTTACATTACTGTTATTCAATTATTATTATGTTTAAAATGCATTTCTTACGAACTTATGAGCTTTTACATAAAAGTCAGGAGAAAAAGTCTTTACAATGATACTATAGAATCTTTATTTACAATAATAAAAAAGTCATAGCCATTATTTTTACAAACTCTCATGAACATGCATTGCATTTATTTTAAATACACACACACACATTTACTTTGAAATACATTTATAAGACAGATGTTAATAGAGTGAGCAAGGTCAGCATTCCTTCATGAGCCTTTATGATGAAGGAGGTCATATTTCTGATATTGTCTGAGTATGCATAATAATGAATCTTATTAGATGACGGTTCTGCTAAATAGACATTTTCTTTCTAAAAGAAAACATCATACTCAGTTGGTGCAGTGCTTCCTGAAGTGTTATACTACAGAGCACTCATAAGACGCCCTGTGAAAAAGAGAATCTTGTCAAATAAGGTTTGAGAAGGGTTGTATTGTGTACCTTCTTAAAATATACAGCGTGTGTTGCTATCTTAAAGACTATGAGAAGTCTTAAGTAAATTATTTTAACTTAGCTTTTTCCAAGAGCATTTTAACAAATTTTTTTCCAAGCAAGATCTATTAATATAGTTGCATCTATTAACATAACGGTCCTGAGGGCACTCTGAAAAACACAGAATTGGAGTATAAGTTCGAGATTCTGGTTCTGACCTTTTGAGGCTTCTTATTCTTAGGACAGAAAATAGCATTTAGAAAGCAAAATTAGTTAAATTCTATAAAGAAGTCTTTTTGGTTATTGTTATTTCTTACTACTTTGGGTAATAAAGCACTGTTATCTAGTAATATCTGCTTTTATTAGAAAATGAGAATTGGCTAGCAACTTAATTTTACTTGATTATTCAACTGTTCTTTAGTCATTGAATGAAAATTATGAATATAAAACATTTCTTGGCATATTATGAGAAGAAAATCTTAAACTGTATAAACTACATTGATTGAAATGAACACAAAGGATTATAATTTGAGTCTTAAGAGAAATTTTAACTAAGCATTAAGTTAAACTTAATTTTAGCTTAATCCTTAGTCAAGGAGGATGGAAAAAAATCAGGTTGTTAGGGGCTACTTTTGTGATGGATGTGCCTATCAAGATAGTTATGGAGTTCTATATGAAGACCATCTCCAGTGTGTTTAATATACTGTTTGTTATTTTCTGAAAGTTAACTGAACTAAGCCCCACTATAATATGCTGCCATATTACATCTGCCATCTTATGCTGTTACAGTATTCACTGAAGCATTGTCTCTTCGGTCACTAAGCCTCAGAAATCATAGCTGATTAAAATGAAACTGTATTGTTACTATATACATATATAGAGACTATATATATATATATATATTTATACATATAATCATATATTTATACATATAATGACTTATGTTAGGGATCCCAGACACTTTCCTTAGTCATTGTATAATCTGCTCAACTAATTACTTCCTAATTACTTCGGAGGTATTAGGAATACAATAAAAGAATAAGGCACTCTGGCTCAAATACTCTAGTGAAAAAACAGCTTTATGGATTTTTTAAAAAGACTAAAAAATCATGTATATAAAGATCAGTGAATTTTTACAAAGTGAACACACTTGTGTAACCTCCAGCTAGACCGAGAAACAGATTATTACCAGCATCTCAGAAGCCCCACTAGGCACACTTCCAGATTCTGTCACTCTCATGGGTAAAAACTATTCTGACTTCTGACATCATAGATTAGTTTTGCTTATTTTTGTACTTTGTAGAAATGGAATCATATAGTATATACTCTTCTGTGTTTGGCTTTTCTTGCTTTTCTTTATAATATCCACGGTTTTGTAGAGAATTATAATTCATTCATTCTTATTGCTGTATTATAGTCTATTGTATGAATATACCACTATTTAGTATCCTGCTGATGGTAATTTGAATTCTTTATATTTTCAATTATCAATGGTGGTGCTGTGAATATTCTTGTACATGTCTCTTAGTGCACATGTGTATGCATTAGGGTTTATAACTGAGAGTGGATTTCTAATTGTCATGGGATATGCACATATATTCAGTGTTAGTAGATATTGCTGGAGAGTTTTCCACAGTGTACCAAGTTCTACTCCCACTAGCTTTGTATGAGAAGTTCATTTGCTCCACATCTTGTACATTTAGAGTTGTCAGTCTTTTTCATTTTAGCTGTTGTGGAGGTTGTGTATTTTATAGTGGTTTTAATTGCATTTCCCTGAAAACTACTGTGGTTGAGCAACTTTTCCTGTTTATTGGTCCTTCAGGTCACTTCTTTTGTGAAGAGCCTCTGTTTAAGTCTTTTGCCTGTTTGTGTCTGAGAGTCATCTATCTTTGTCTACCAGGAGTTCTTTATAGATTTCTATAGGAGTCTTTTGCCAGATATATGTACAGCACATAAATTCTTCTTCTCTATTACTTACATTTTCACTCTCTTAACAGTGTTTTATGATGAACAGAAGATTTTTTTTAATGTAATATGGTCTAGTTCATGATCTTTTTCCATTATGATTTGTACTTTAAAAAAATCTCCCCATAGAATCTTTTAAAATGGCATTTGTATAGTGAGATTTTACCTATGTAGTAGTAAGGCTTTTATGAGACAGCCAGTGGAAGATAGGAGTGGAAGTAGGATTTTGTAAATTAAGCTGTCAGTAAGTTTTGTTTTTCCTTTAGAAAAAAATTAAAGATAAATGAACAGGAACATTTTTGTGTTATGAGGAGATATTTTAACAAAGGGAAAGTTCATTCATCAGTTTTTTTGTTTGATTAAATGCTCATTTTAATTTTAAACAAAAAATTGTTTAAACAATTTAGAAAAAATGTTTTTACACATATGATATGTAGTTTTCTTGGTAGTTTTCCATAGAGCCATCTGGCTTTAAAAATCATTGAACATATCAATACCAGAAAAATGTACTTAATCTTGTTCTAAATGTGGTTGATCATACTCGTGTCTAATAATTTTATTTTCTTTGAACATTTTTAGAACTTTTTGAAAACGAGCATGTACGTATTGGACAAAAAGGTAAGCTTTTTATTATAAATGTTATTATTTCTGAAAAATGAGAGAGTCCTAGGTAAATGTCTGCCTCAAATAACCTCCAAGAGAAATTTAATCTCTGAAAAGCAAAAAACCTAAAGAGGAGTAGTATTTAACCATGTAGATTATATAATGAGAATCTTTATAAGTAGGGAAAATGTATCATTTTGGCTTTATCAATAAATGTCAGAGAAAGAAGTACACAGCTGGTTCACTATTCCTGAGACACATATTCCTCAGGGATGTTACCTTAATTCATTCGGCTATAGAATTTCATTTCAAAATCAAAGAAGCAGGTTCTGTCTTTGATGCACCCACGCATGTCTCATTAGAATTAATGGGAATATGCTCCCGCATCAGGAGAAAATAGAACTGTAATGGTTCCCAGTGACCATTCACAGTGGTATGTCTTAATAACCAAAGTGGGTCTTAGTGTTCTGGGAAATAATTTTTCTCTATCTTTTGAAGATTCTTTTCCTTGTTTTTATAAATCCTATTTTGTCTTTGAAATATGAAGGATAGATTGGTCTTTGTGTCAGAAAGAACCTAGTATGACAATTACATTGTCATGTATCAAATTCCCTAGTTCAATTTTTTTAAATCATATGTATTTAGAAGACTTTATTTGTATGGTTTGACACTTTTATTAAAAGCAATTACAAATTAAAGAATATGTTTCATCTCTTTTATTTCATGATTCCTTTGTTTCTTCTGCTCATGTCATTTTCATTTAATATGAGATTATTTTCCATTTCTTTGTAAGAAGAAAATGTAAGAAAACACTACTGATTAGATTAACGTTAGCAGTTGTTTTGATGCATCATTTTTTTGGTTTTGCTTCATTTTGGTTTTTTTGGACCTTTATTTCCAGACTGAGTAGCTGACATTTCCATTAAAGAAAATAAAAATGAAAATGAAAGCAAAAGATAACATATTGATTGTGTGAACTTAGCTGCTTAAGAATAATTTGGGCCTTTTTACAAGTTTATGAGATCTTTGTATCTATGTCTTTAAAAATCTCTGTTTTCTGTTGATTTTGATAAATAACTAAGAAGTCATTTAATAGAATAGATAGCCAACGTTCTTATATCTTGTAATTCTTAGCCATGAAACTTGATATACCGTACTATTTCCAAATAGTAGAACATTCATGGTGTAGTAGAATATGCAAAAGAAATGTGGAGTTTCTGTAGCTATGAATTTACCTACACACACACACACACACACACACACACACACACACACACAATGCTAGTTTCAGATCATGAAGCTATAGTTAAAGCAAAGTGATCTCAAAGTCCTTACATTTAGTCCCTCCCTACCCAGACTGGGTAGGAGATGGAAGAGCTTAAGGCTTGAAACTGGGAGGGCTGCAAATAGGGCTATGTCGAAATCCAGAGAGTAAATTTAAAACGGTCAAGATATGGTGTAATTATGTTAGAAAGACTGAATGTTAGCTTCCCAAAAGATTTGTAATTGAAGATTTCAGTGATGTTTCTTATTATGAGTTTTCTAAGGAGATTTTCATATACTTTTGACAGTTCTAGCAGAACAAGATAGTGCTGCTGCTCAGCAGTACATCAGACAAGGAAGTCCCACGGCACTGAGAGCTGAATTGTGGGCTCTCATTTTGAATATTTCCAGTGAACCTGAGGTAAGAAAAAAAAAAAAAAAGATGCGTCAGATTTTAGCTTTGGGCTATTTATTTTTCAAAGACCAGTTATTTAAAATAGAAAAGACTTGTTTCTTAATCTATTGTTAACCCCCTTTTTAACTTTTCAAAATCACTGTAGTTTTAGGTTCTAACATTTAACATATAATTTAAACATATAACTGTCTGCTTAATACAGAAGTTTTTGTTATTAATAATTAGTGAAATATGTGACCTTATATATACAACAAAACAATAAGTACAATTTTGAGAAGCAGAGACTGACTATTTAGATCAGTGAAGATGTGTGGTAGAATAAGGATGTTAGCCTAGGGAGAAATAAAGTAAGGTAACTCAGGTCAAGTAAATGAATTCTTTGTCCCTACAGGAACCTTTGAAATATGCACTATTTTTATGGTTCTAAAAATTGACAGATTAAGTGAGAATCTTATTTTTCTATATGTAAGAATATTTTATTTTAGGAAATACAACAATGAAAAGAAATCATCAATAGATGGGTAATAGATTCAATAAAGCAAAATTATGTACGACATTGATTCTTAAAATATTCTTAGTGGGGATTTTTTGTTTGTTTTTTGCTTAAACTCATTAATCATAGAGGGCATTCATTTAAAAGATTTTAATGAATAGTTTTCTATTCATTTTGTAGTAGTTTTCTAGCCTGGTGGTTAAAAACATAGATTTTGCAATTATACGGATATGGTGTCAACTTCTAGTTCCCACAGCTTCCTAGAAATATATCATTGAGCAAGTACTTAAATTTCTTCAAACCTCAGTTAACCCACACTTAGATATAGGTAATAATATTTATATCACATAATCATTGTCAGAATTAAATGAAATAATGTACATGTACTTTTTAACCAATATCTGGAACATAAATGATCACCATTAATAAAAGTAATCATAAGTTACATATTACATGTAATTGTTATAAGTTAATTATAATTAATAATGACGTTTTTAAAGAAAATCAAATATTGTTAATACTGTTATAAAAACTCTACCTATACCCCTTGCAAACTGTGTATATGTGCACTTGTGTATACGATGTTTTAAATCTCCCTCTGGACAGCTCTGTCAAAAATCGCTTACTTTGTTTTTGAAACAATAAAGCTTGTAATTTATTTCAGAGCAGTTTTAGACAAATGATAATGGTAGCCTTTTATAGAGATATTTTAAAGAAAATAGTTTATAAAATAGGCTTGAGTATAGATTGGACCTTTTTTGTGATTATATCAATTCTTGTAGAAGAAGATATAACTTTTGTCCTAATTTAACTTTGTAGATGTACTGCCAACTTAATTGTATAGAAATTGGATTAACAAATTTTGTCTCTTTGCAGAGGAATCACTACCATTCCAAAATCAAATTTAGAGTATTTCCAGAAGTATCATCCTAATAACCCCAGATAATAATAAAATAATAATCCCAGATGATTATTTTTTACAGTAGTCAAAGGTGGTTTTTACTACTTGTAGATGTTTTCTTGTAAAAAGAAGAAAAAAGTTTTTAAGGTAATTTTTACCCTGGAATTTTGGAGCTAATAGCCATCTGAATTTTCTAATTGCAAAGTGACAAGTCTATTCAAGATCTGTAAATAGGAATTAGTATCTTCAGAAAAGCAATCTAATTTTTTGATTAAAGCATCTTTTATCACTTAGAGTTAATTCCAGCTATAAAAGTGTGACCCCAATAAAGTATAGCAGTTCTAAAATAATTTTTGTAGGTGATACATTAGAGAGACACACAGAGAGAAGGAAGAATACTATTTGTTATTAAGAATATCTTATTAGAATTTTTTGTTGAATCGCTTTTCAATCACTTAAAATAAGTTGCACATATAATTGTAGTCATAGTTGAGGTGTTAGACATAAATGGAAGATTTTACATTTCACATACATAAAGCTATTCTTTAAAATCTATTTCAAAACCAAGACTTTGGATATAATACCTGCTGTTCTTAGTAGTTAATTCTTTTCATACTTTCAGTAGAATATTATCCAACTTTTATTTTTTAAAGAAAATATATGATAGGTTTAAAAGGATTGCTTTTATATATTTCCTTTTCTACACATTTCTAGGTATGTGTCAAAATATCCATATCTAGTAAACATTGTTCATATTTTTAAATGTTTTAATTTCAGTTTTCTAATTTAAAATAGAAAGTGTTCCTCTATTTTTGTTCTAGGTACTTGCTCACTGATGAAACAGCCAAGACTAATACTAACATTTAAGATTTTCTTTAGTGATTTCTTAGCAAGGTTCTTACAAACTTACCTTGGCTCAAAATGTTTCCTGACCTGCCTAGGTTTTTGTGGTCAGCTCCCTTAGTCTTCACAGTACCTCTTTCTGACCCCCACTCTCTTCATTCCTTCGCTTCAGTCTTAGCAAAATACTTCACCTCCTGATACCTGAGAAAACAGAATTCATCATTAGAAATTCATTCAAGTTTCTCTTACCAAACTTGTAGACTGAATTGCATCAGCACCTGCTCTTGTCCTCATCTACTTCTATTTAAATGGAAGAAATGTCAGGCTGGACATAGTGGCTCATGCTTTAATCCCAGAATTTTGGAAAGTTGAGGCAGGTGGATCACCTGATGCTGGGAGTTTGAGACCAGCCTGGCCAACATGAAGAAACCCTGACTCTACTAAAAATACAAAAAATTAGCCAGGCATGGTGCTGTGTGCCTGTAATCCCAGCTATTTGGGAGGCTGAGGCATGAGAATCACATGAACCCGGGAGGTGGAGGTTGCAGTGAGCTGACATGGTGCCACTGTACTCCAGCCTGGGCAATAGAGCAAGACTGTCTCAAAAAAGAAAAGAAAAGAATAGAATAGAAATGTCTACCTCTTATACTTGTTGCTACCTCTTAGAAAAGAAAAGAATAGAATAGAAATGTCTACCTCTTATATGTGTTTAACCTCATTTACTACTTTTTTATTGAAACATTCCTTGGCTTTTGTGACACAGTACTCTTTCTGGCATTCTTCGTTTGTGGAGAGTCTTTTTTGTCTTACAAGTTAGGGTTCTTGAGGGTCTGTCTCTTCTTTATACATTCCTTAGCAAATCTTACACACTCCCAAAGTCTCAGTTCCCCATTACCTCAAATCTCTATACCTTCTTCTCAGATCTGTCTTCTAAACTTCAAATGCAGCTGCCTAGTGGAACTAAATTCCTGTTTTAGTACCACTGTCCTTCAAGGAACCATGGCCATGAACTATATTCAATAATGCCTTCTTGATTACTCAATAATAATTGAATAATTATTATTACTCAATAATACCTTCTTGATTTAACTTCTAAACATGTTTTAAATCCAGCTCTCTCTATATATTCACATTACTACCACTCTAATTTCAAAATACCATCATTTCTATAAAAAAAAAACTTTCTATCTTATCTTTCTAACTTCAGCCTTGTTCCCTATAAATCCTTTTTTACCCTGCTTTGTAAAAAACTGAAATCTAGTGGTATGGTTTGGCTGTTTCCCCACCCAAATCTTACCTTGAATTGTACTTCTCATAATTCCCACATGTTGTGGGAGGGACTAGGTGGAAATAATTTAATCATGGTAACAGTTTCTCCCATTCTGTTCTCATGATAGCCAATGAGTTCTCATCAAATCTGATGGTTTGGTTTTATAAGGGGCTTCCCCCTTTTCTGGGCATTCATTCTCTCCCCTGCTTCTTTGTGAAGAGGTGCCTTCTGCCATGATTGTAAGTTTCCTGAGGCCTCCCTAGCCATGTGGAACTGTGAGTCGATTAAACCTCTTTCCTTTATAAATTACCCAGTTTTGGGTATTTCTTCATAACAGCATGTGAATGGACTCATGGTAAATTGGTATCACACAGAGTGGGTTGCTGCTATAGGTACCTTAAAATGTGGAAGTGACTTTGGAACTGGGTTACAGGCAGAGGTTGAAATAGTTTGGAGGGCCCAGAAGAAAACAGGAAAATGTGAGAAAGTTTGGAACTTCTAGAGACTTGTTGAATGGCATTGACCAAAATGTTGATAGTGATGTAGACAATGGAGACCAGGCTAAGGTGGTCTCAGATGGAGATGAGGAACTTATTGCGAACTGGAATAAAGCTGGCTCTTGTTATGCCTTAGCAAAGAGACTGGCAGCATTTGTCCCTGCCCTAGAGATCTGTGTAACTTATGTCAGTTGAGAAAAATGACGAGACAAGTCTCAATTATTTTAGGAGGTTTAGTTGCCAAAGTTAAGAATGTGCACCCTTGAAATAGGTCTATGCCTTCTCCAAACATGATTTTGAGGGCTCCAAGTTTAAAGGGAAACAGTGAGATGTTGAGAAGTATACAATTTTCATGAAAGAGGGAAACAGGGGAAAATAGTTATTCGTGCCTTTGCCTGGCCCAGTGAATCTGCATTTTTTTTTAACCTAAGATGACATAGACAAATGGGGCAAGGAAAAATGTGAGGAGTCCTCGTTTTTTACATAAGATAACATAGAAGGTACATTATAGGGGAAGATCCAAGATGGCTGGGTAGGAACAGCTCAGGATTGCAGCTCCCAGTGAAAGTGCAGAGGGTGAGTGGATGCCGCATTTCCTGATGGATTTTTATTACCCACAGACCAGGAGATTCCCAGGCGGAGGAGCCACATGGGTCACTAATGTGGCTGTTTTGGCCAGCTCGGCTGCTTTGCCTGGCATGGCTGCTTTGCCCCCTGCTTTATCGGTGCCCCAGTGCAGTGGTTCTCTATACAAAATACACTGGTCTGGGTGCCCTTTTAGCTAGTGATTTGAGCCCCGGGAAGTCACCCATTCAGCAGATTAAAAAGGGGAATGAACAGGGAGCCAGGCCAGGAGATTCCTGGGCAAAGAGAGCGCCATGAACCTCAGTACCACTGTCTAAGCCAGCGCAGTGAGTCACCACATGGGAAATCACAGAGATCCCGGCACCTTTTCAACAGGCTGGAACACCTGGGAGAGAGTCAAGTGTTCAACTAAAAAAA